ACATCCTTCCAGTTTTTCCAACCTTTCCTCATGTCGTGGTTCCTACAACTCTCATCACTTGTGCTGCTGTCCTTGGCACTCTTTTTTTTTCTCTGTGGCAGAGCACAGGGTGTCTCTGCCACTTTAAGGGCCTGGAGCTGGCAGCCTCCAGGTGCCTGACGAGGGCAGCCATTTTGAGACATGGGCTGCCTATATAAACAGGGCAGTTTGGCTGCAGGAGGCCAGGCAACAACATCGCCTGGCCGCAGGGCTGCTGCGAATGACCCGGAGGTAAGGGGGAGCTGCAAGGGGTGGGTGAGGGGGCTCCTGGGCATGACCTGAAACTGCACCCTGCCGGGAGTGGGTGGTCTGGTGGGGCTCTCAGTGGCGCGGGAGCCCCCAGGAAATGCCAGGCCAGTCATCGCCCCGGTGAAAGGCGGGTCGGGGCGCCTTAACCCCTAGCTCCCACCACCGGGTGGGTAACCCTATGTTGGAGGGGCCCAGAGGGCGGACCCCGAGAGAGTGTATGGAGTATAGGGCATGGTGCTGCGGTTGAAGGGGATAATACCCTCGACTGGCCCATGCTGGGGCCAGGACCAGAGAGGGTCAAAAGGGCCGGGGGCCCACCGCGAGGGACGCCCAAGAGCCGGGGGCCTGGGGTCCCGACTGGCCAGGGCCAGGGCCAGGGAGCCGAAGGTCCCGGGGGAACCACACCCGAGAAGGGAACAAGGGTTCGGGGGGGCTAGGTAGCTCCGATGCAGGCGGAGAGGCCGCCTGATCAGGAGAGATCGTAGTGGGGTCGTAGGGGATGATTCTGGGGCCCAGCGTGGTGTTAACACCGAGATGCCACCTGCGAGGCTTGGGGCGCGGTATTAGGGGAGGTCGGAGCCGCAGAGCGCCCCCTGGCATCGGGGCACTACAATGGGCAGCCTCCCGCTTAATTGACATCGATATACGAATCAATTATCATCAAAGGCGTGGCGGGCGGTTGCCCAGAGACAGGTGGGCGGGCCACGGAGAGCTCGGTCCTGAGTAGGCCTCCTGTCACGGTGACAGGTGGGCGGGCCACAGAGTTCGGCCCCAGGAGGCTTCCTGTCACATTCTCCCCTCCAATTGATCAATGCCTTTTTTGAAGGGCAGCGTCTCAAGCTGGATACAGTACTCCAGGTGCAGCCTCATCAGCGCTGAACAGAACAGAAGACTCCCTTTTCATCGACTTGCGCCGGACACCTCTATTGATACATCCCAGTGTGCTGTTTAGCTCCTTTTGCTACAGCATTTACCTGGTTGACTTATTCTGCTTTTGATCTGCAGTAACCTCCAGGTCCTTCTTGGCAGCACTGCAGCCCAGCCGTTCATTTCCCACGTTGTTTGCTTGCATTTAATTGTTCCTGCCCAAGTGCAGCACTTTGCACTTGCCTTTAGTGAATTCCCTCCAATTTATTTCAGACCGTCCTTCTGATGTATTCAGATCCTTTTGAATCCTA